AGAGTATACAGTGTGTACCTGTATGTTAAGAGCCGTACGCGCAGTGGTGTCACCACACACACCCCAGCCCCGTCGCGTCCCCCGACGACCCACGTGTGCGCCGCGCGTACCAGCGACGAGCGAGCCGCGCGTAAAGACTAAGAGCCCCCGTAAGACTAAGAGCCCCCGCGTGTGCGGGGGGGCGTGCAGGGGCGAAAACGGAAAAGTCAACTGTCAATATAGTTAAAAAAACCACCATAACAAAACAATGTCAGGGTGGTGTCACAGACACCATTCGCGAAGTGGGTGCCGGGAGACTGATGATGCTCCTTCGACTTAGGGAGCGGTTCAGCTCGGCTGGGCGGGCTTCAGGGTGTGGTGCTCACGCGAAAAGGAATCGACGCGATGTGCAAAGCATACAAGAAGAGGAGAAAGAAGAGGACGGACATCAGTGATGACGAAACAGAAACTAGCGCAGACGAGAGCAGGGCAGACCCGGGGACTGGGGAGCCGGAGCAGACGGCATCGGCCGCCGAGGGAACGTTGGGAAGAGGCACGAGGAGGGCGGCGACCTCGACCGACTATGGAGGACCCGTCGCCAGACGACGCAGGGCAGAAGACGGTGAGGCGGAGCTAGGGCGGAGCAGACGTGCAGGGCGAGACGAGGGAGGGAGCAGGATGTTGCGGAGATCAGCAGGAGGATGTACGAAGAGATTAGGAGCAGCAGGGACCCGAGGGACCATGTGGAAGACGGCTAGTGCTAGTCCCCCATCGGGAGGACGACCCCGGCGACGTCGCCGACCACACCCACAAAGAACCCTGCACAAAGATCGCAAGGGCGGGGACCTGTTCCTTTTTACCCATCTCCCAGTAGCGAGGTGTCCGTGTTACCATTCTTGAAACGCAACACGCGGTGGCCAGGGCCCGGGGCCCACGCCATGGCCACGCCAGCTCCACTTGGAGTGTGAAGTGCTTCGTATACTTTAGCCCTCCGGTCTACTCAGCGTACTGTAAGACCATGACCAGAGGGCTGGAGCGAAATCAAAAAAAGCAAGCGAGTGGGCCCACGCGAACTCTAGCTACTAGTACCTCCGTAGTAGTAGCCTATAGCTGGGGTCGATCCCAATAGACAGTCCGACCACCCTACAGTACTAGCCCGCCTCAACCCACTTTACCCATGTACATACTATTATATTACCAGTACTCTAGTCTGCTCTCTGTCTGCCGGCCCGCCCTGACACTGACACGGCGCTGGGGCGGAGATAGGTACTCTACAGCGTCAGAGAGGTGACAAGTACAGCGCTGCACCGAGCCACAGGACTCTCAAGTGTAAACAGGGCAGATAATGTGCGCACAATCCAACACCTGTGGTCAGGGGGTGGCGATCAGCTTCGAGTGGGAGGCGGCGGCAACGGCGAAGCTGGCGATCAGAGTGCGATGCGCAAGCGCCTGTGGCGTGTCGAACAGGATAACCTGGTCGGGCTCGGCCATCGCCGCCATCGGGATGGAGGGGTGAAGGCGGTTGAAGCACTGGCTGCCTGAGAGGGTTGGAGGGGTGAAGGTTGAAGCACTGGCTGCGGGACGCAGGGTACAACAGATGTGAAGGCGCAGACGACAACCCGAGGCGCGGGCTGGGCTGCGCTCTTTGCACCGTCGCAATCCGAGTGGTGATTCCCTTGACCGTGACCATTGACTCCGGAGTGGACGAGAAGGCCACGGCTGCCGGGATGGCGAGGAGTCCGAGAGCGAGGCGACTCATGTGCGGCAAAGGCCAGGAGGCAAGAGGGGTGTCAATCCCACAACGCTCGCCACAAGCTTCGCGCCACATCCCACAAGCTTCAGCCTAGACGCCATCGCCATAACGCGGAAGGAACAGACAGAGAAGAGGTCTCACATTGCTAGAAGTTTGGGTCACCTCCACCTATACCTCACTCACATAAGCTTGTTGGCCAAAATCACACGCGGCGTCGCCCTGGTGCGCGCTCCTAATCGTGACTCGCCGCCCCCGCAATCAACCCCGCCACACAGAAAGCACACTAGTCCGCGTCGCGCAGCGCGCGTCCCCGTCTGTTCAGAGCCCAAGCACGTCGCTGCTCGAGCGCGCACGGCCAGAGCGCACGCGGCATGGGCCCGGCGCAGACAAGGGCTGCGCCGCCTTTGGCGCGTCGTCGTCGCGCAAGCCGTACAGAATCCGAGCCTGCTCGCAGCTCTTGCGCCGCCGGCCGGCCGCCCCTCCCGGAGGGCTGGCGGCGGCCTGCGGCAGCGACCACTCCGTCGCTTCCAGGGAGAAGACACGCGTAACTTCGGCGACAAAATCGCGGAAGCTGACCCGCGGGGGTGCTGGGTCGCCGCGGCCGCCGCGCAGGGGGATGCCAGCCTCGTCGGGGAGGCCCCGAGAGAGGCCAAGCTCCTTGAGGGCCACCGTGACGTCCTCTGCCGCGATGGTGCCAGTGGCCGCGTGCTCCTGCGGCGGGGAGGGGTTCGGGCGTGGGTTCGGGTCCGGTTGAGCTGCTGGCGGCCACCGCTTGCACGCATGATCGAGCCGAGCATCGTGCACCCTTAGGGTGGGGCTCGTGCGGGGTTGTGTGCGGATGCGATACGGCAGTGCGGCAATTGCGGCGGCGCGGCGGCGCCTTGGCCTCGAAGAAGGCGCGCAGCGGCCCGATGAGCGGCTCGTGTGCTCCGAGGCGCATCGACGCCGCGTGCACCAGATCGCCGCGCGAGAGGGTCCACTCACGGAGCGACTTCTCGCCCCGGACGGTGCCCGCGCGGCCAAGCAAATTGCCGCTCGGCGCAGCGTCGTCCGCGCAGCTGCTGTCCCTGGACGAGGCGATCGTGGCCAAGCTGGGCGGCGAGGCTGAGAAGTCGTCCATCGACGCGTTCCTGTGCACCCATGGGCGCGCCAGCGGCCGATCGAGCGCCCCCCCGCGCCATTCGGGCGGGAGGAGGTCTGCCACCTGATCAAGAGCACACAACAGGGGAGAGGGATGCTGTAGAGTAGAAGGCAGACGGAACACCTCCTCGGCACCCGAGGGTAGGGCGGGAGGGGCGTCGGACGCACCGACGAGGCGACAAAGTCGGCG